TCACCCCTTGGCCTCTCAGTCCCTCGTCTACACCCGGGGAGCCGCCGGTAAGAAGGACAAAAACGTCTTCGAGGGGTTCTCAAACCGATTTCGACGATGATCTTTTACAACGACCAGCTAAGACGCACCGTGACGAATCTGCCTCACGGATGCGTAAATTTCGTTGAACGCGTGTGATTCGACCATACGTAAATACGCATATACCGTTCTTCTTCTTTTTACTCGATCGATCTAACGATTCGATCCCTTTCGATCGACAAAAATACCTTTCGACGAATCTTCTATAAGCAAGAATAGAACCTATTTTCTTCGCTTAATACGACACGCTCGCGGTCGCCAAATCGTTCCTCTTTAATCCTCCAGAGCGTTATTACATTTTGAAAAAGCGACAGAACCCTTTCGCTGAAAGCATCGTTCGCGAAGACCAAGCAATTTCTTGTCGCAATCAACACGGAGACGAGCGATTTCTTGCGACGAGGTAGCACGCTTCGCGAAATCGCGAAAACGGTCACGCTTCTTTTTGTCACCGACTCGTCGTCGCTGTTGGATCGAGTTTCGTAAACAATTGGCGATAGCAGGACGCGGTTCAAACAGATGGATCCGCAAAGTCGTCGGCGCACCGTTCGAAAACCAGTTCGCTCGTTTCTTTGCTTCCTTGGAGGGGTGTCGATTAACTGGTGCCAGTAGAGAATAAAAGTACGTACTTTCCATTTTGCCTATCCTTTTCTCGATATCGTTCATAACGACATCTTCGAATATCTTTTCGCGATCTACGTACAACGTTGTACTCGTATAGAATCGACTCGCACACAACGATTTACACGATTTACGTCTTTAGTTATCTTACAATACGCATAAAGCTGTTTCTCTTCGTGTTGTACTCGTTCGTCTGTTACATATATCGTTTTTCGTGATTGTTTAACCATTTTACACGAGTGAAAAATATAATCGCCATAATTTCTTAATAATTCCCTTTGAAACATAATATATTTTGTCAACTATAATTTCTTAATCCTTTAGTGTAGATCGTCGATAGTTTATGCTCCGAAGTGGTACGCACGCTCGTAAAACTGGCACGAAAATATTTCCTTTTCTTCGTTTTTCCCCCCTTAATTTTATTACAGCTCCGCTACAGGTTATAATTAAAAACCTTTCTTACTTCTCTACCTGTTAATAAGTCGTAAACGCTAAGTAATTAAATCGAAAATATATTACACCTTTCAAATCGCGTTCCTTCCCTACTTTACATACGAAGATCGTATCTTTATTATTCATTCGCATTCTCTTTTGTCGGATTTGCATTGATACAGCAAACACCGAAACTTCATATATTCTACTTGCTTTCGCCAGAAAATTACAGAGAATGAAATGGAAAGGATTTATTTTATTGTGCGTGCGTAAGGATCGTAATTAATATTTTTTTCATTTTCAATAAGGTACGTTTCGAACGAAATTCTATCGAAGATCGCGTGAAAAATTTACCTTTCTCTCGAATCAATTTACGATCCAAGGAGAATTTGAGAGATTCCTGCGTGGAATCGAAGCTATGCCGTTGTTTGAAGTATAAAGCGCCGCGGAACGAGTTTATGGAAATAGGGCACGACTCGAACAAATTTTATCAAGTATTCCGTGTGACAGCGTTGAATTAAGAGATACTGGAAAGAAGGAAAACCGTTGAAGCGAAGAATATTGTGCGGATACGTTTAATATCGGAGAAATTCCGTGTACAGTGTAGATAATAGGAACGCGTAAAGGTAATTTCGCTTGACTCGATCGTTTCGATAAAAAAAGTAGCAACTACAGTAGTAACTTTTACCGAGTTGTTTTATCGATCACCGTGACATCATACCGGGGAAATCGAAACTACACGACGAGACTTAATTTTTAAAATTAAATCTTAGACTCGACTAAGATCGATATCAGTATACGAAAGAATGCGCATTTTCCAAATTTATTTTCCGCTTTCAAAGGAAGATGTACACAAAGTACAACTTGTGTATGACTGGTTGTCATCCTGTCCATAAATCTCAGGTACCATAAATCTCAGGAATTTTCTAGCTAAGGTCCTTCAGACCGAACAAACATCTCTTCGCTAAATCGTTTTCTAAAGCTTTATCGTTACTAGTACTAGATAGGAAAGTTAGTTTTCTCGCATATGATGCTTCCCACTAGCAACTCTCTCTCGGGCGGCGGTTAGCACCCTTCTTCGCCAACCAACCTAGAAAATTAACCACTTGACAGCGAAGTCTTTCTCCCGCTCTCCCAATGAAACCTTGCCCTTAAAAAATCAGCTCTTTCTTATAGATTAGACCTACCCACAACAAGCTTCCTTCGCAGCATCATCTTCACAGAAAGTCGGTCTTTGTGCACCTTTTGAATCGCCATCATCTAAGCGTACGTCGCGTACTACACACTGTAACTTTGGATATCGATCGAAACTTAATTATGTCTCTCTAGTGAAGAAGTTGTTTGAATAAACATTAATTTATACCTGTTAAATCAGTGTAACCTCGTTCGAACCACCCCTATTGTCGTAACAGAAATAAGGGGATCGATCAGTTCGTGGCGACGATTATTTAATCGTAACGGGAATTTACGACTCTCGTTGACGCGCTATCTCGCGATCGCGTCTCTCCGCGAACGGTCGAAACAATGACAAATATTTATTTTCTTAATTCGCGGATATATCGCGTCTTTAAAACCATGTACGTAATTCCGAAGGATTTTGTGGTTCATCGTGTATCTTTGATATCTATTACTTTGATACAACCCTGCACATCTTTCATCGTACGTTTCAGTACAGACACACTACTTGACCTACATACTTGTTCGAATCAAAAGATTTCGCTTAATACGCCTTGCGTCCTACTTGAGGTTATCGACATTCATCCGGTCCATCCTATTCACAGAAAAATGTTCCTACGTAAAGAAACAAGAACTGGCGCAAACTACAGTATCTGTAAGAACTGTAAATGAAGTCAGCGCATAAATCAGAGTGATCTTTAAATTTTACCTTCAACGTTACTAATTTGTTAATATAAGTTGGACAATAGTTAAGAATAAGTCGTATTTCTAATTCTTAATACTCGATACTCCTTTATAAGGAATCTTAGAGCGCTTAAATTTTCCTTATCGCGATATCGCGGTAGAAAATAGTTTCCCCGTTTCTATGGCGTGTGCACGGTGTCGGCGGCGAATATAGCGCGAAGCGAGGCGACGCTACACCTGGGACTCGCGTCTACTCACACGCGTCCTAGAAAAGCGATCTAGCGCGTGAGATTTGAGAACACCTGCGACCAAGCGCCAAGACGACACCGTGGATCGATATTTTCCATACTACGTGGCGCGTCGTCGTCTGCTTTTGCTTGCATCCACCATCTCGACGAGGCAGCGTGTCGGTTTACGCAACGAAATTGAAGCGAAGGGCAAAGGTGACGCGGAGAAAGAGTGGCCTCGTCCACGGAGAAACGAGGGACGAAATTACCGAGACGTGTGCCACGATTAAACGTTACCATGTCGATGGAACGTGATGTTATCGAACGAGTGGATTCATCGATCGATGAAATTTCAAGGAAAGTTCAGTTCACCTACATATTGTATCATTAAGTTGAATTCCTAATCAAAAGTAATCATGTTTGTTTCAATCGTGTGTCGGGTTTATTTCTATAGATATTCTAATGAAATATTTCTAATATCGCGCGCGTGCTTGTGTGTGTGTGTGTATGTGTGTGTGATCGATCTAGACGGAATCCGAGGAACGAGAGAGCAACACAATGAACGTGATGTTCGAAGCAACTTGTTTGTAACGATAAAAAGAAAAGTGTACGGTACTCCAACTGAACGACTCGATGCATCGAGAGATTCGAAAGATCGAAGATACGTGATTGGAAAACTCGAGACTCAGTTTTCGTGCTTCGAAAACGAAATGTTTCTCGAGGGGAACACGATGAGCGCAATTTTAACCGGAAGCACCGAGTATAAGTCTCGAACGATTCGTCTTTAGAGATCTGAGAGATCTTTCGAAATACGCGAGAGAGATTTTACGATAAATGTCTACGTTAAGATCTTCGTCGAGGACGATTATGATCGATAAAGGTATCTCCTAGAAAACTATGTTTATACGCGTGAATTAAAACGCCGAATTAAAAGCTTTTCAGATGCCAGAAATCGCATTTTCCACGATCGAAAATCTTCTCAAGCATCCACTTTCAAGATACACGGAAAGCTCTTTTCACAGAAAGGAGTTGCCACGATCGGGAGTCAGATCTAATCTGTAAGTCTAATGCATTTTGGCGTGGTGCTGACAGATTCGCTGAAAATAGGTACTTGTCGCGATAAGGATTTACGACGAGATACCGTACCGAAGATCTTCTTCGGTTCTCGAACGAGGGAGACTTAGCGTTAATTGCGATCACGAGCCGGCAACCTCGTCACGATAAAATAATTACTCCGAGATATTTCGCCAATTAACGTGCTTTCTATCGGCCAAGTGAAAATTCTTCGGGATTGATCGCGCGAATAAACGAAATTGTTTAGGATGAAATTCGCATAGTTATGCCGTTACGTGCAAAGATAGATCTTAGTTGAAATATCTGATATTTTTTCACGGAATAAACATCGTTTCACCTTTTCTAGAAGAATTCCTAACTCTTCGTTACTCGGTATTATTTCGTTTGTTATCGGGTAATTTATATTCTATCAAAAAAATGCAAATGTGCTTGAAAAACGCTTGCAAACTCGTAATAAAATCGTTACTCGTTATATTTTCGTTCCACGATCGATATTAAAATTAAAATTAAAATTACAATTAAAATTAAAATTAAATCATAACGAAAGTAATAACAGTTAAAAAGTGGCCTTTAAAATGCAGAGCACGTTATTTCGTTATCGTTGGAAGCGAACAAAAGGTACGGAGGTGTGCTCGTTGCATTATGAAAGATCGGAAATTACAGTGAATCGAAATTACAGGGACTTAAAGGGGAGCAACGAGGTCTACTTACCACGATTCTGTTGGGGGTGACGTCCAAGGGTCGAGCTCCGAGGACAGGGGTGGCCGGAGCGCTACCCCTTCGGCAGGCCTTCTCGTAGGACGTGTCTGAAACACAGAGGAACATTTGTGATTTAGCAACAGGGTAATTCAGCCGTTTCCGGTGCGAACGAGACCAAACGGTCGCGTTAATTATCGTATCTCGTTTCGTATTCGATGCGAAAATCGAAATGCTATTGAGCGAATAATCGCATTTCCCTCGGTTTGCCTCGACTTTCCTTCCTGCAAGGAAATGGCATCTTTGAGTTTTCGTACGAATGGTTTAACCGACGTCAAAACGATTAAATCTTTTTCGTGCGTTCTTCTGTTTAAAAGGGTATCGCCTAATCGAGTAAACTCCACCTTTGCTCTTATTTAACCAAAACATTCACAAACGATTCTTACGTTTCTTAAAAATCGAGTCTACGCCTCTCCACCTACTACGCTTCTCGCGACAGACTGGGGGAAGGATCGAGTTGGACATTTTTTCGCACGAACATTCCATTATCCGCTAATCGCCCGATCGACCGTTCACACACTCGTAAAAGATTCTCCGTATCGGGAAGCAGCTTCAGAGGCTTCGAAATAGCATTATTCCGGATCGGGGAAGGGAACGTGGAGATTCGTGGGCGCGATTAAAAGAGGAACTTCCGTTTCGGAACCGGCTGCTCGTTCGCGTACTTGGAACTCGGTCACGGCATAGTCGGAGCAATGCTGGAACCTCGTAATTTCAAGAACGACAACAGGCCATTGTGCGGTCGTGGGGCCATTCACGGGATCCCTATAATGGTGGCGTTCCATCGAAAACACGATGGAAACGCTTACAATGACCGAGGCGCTGTGTGCAAGTACCGCCTTCTGTCTAGGAATTCGTGAACAGAGGAATCGATCGTTACCAGCGAGTGCTTGCTACGTAATACCTGTTCTTATCTCTTCTCGTACCGTCTGTAAAAATAGTTGACGATCAAACGCGTGAGATAGAAACGATAAAGAATTCTAAATGAGTTTACGAAAATGTCGGAAATGTTTGGAACGATCTATTTTTCATTTAGAAAACAGTATCGTAACTACTTCTTTACGATCGTCATCGTTATCAATTTTCTACGAGATAAACTTACGATAACGATTTAACCTACAATTGTACGATATCATCGATCGATAGATTCTACGAATATTTGATGAGAATATATACGAGATTGTTTATTTTTTATTTATTAAAAATCGAGAAAACGAAACTTCGCTTGAAAGCCTCTTTCAGAGCGTCGATTTACAATTAATCGCTCTATTCGCTTCCGATTCCCAAAATAGTCTCGTAACCGGCCACGTATCCATCGTTAAATCCACTCGAGCGAGCGTTCAACTCTAAAACGTGAAACCAAACAATGAGCGTCGATGTTTAAACGTTTCAAACCGAGTTCCACTTTCTATCGCGCGATTAATTTAAAAGTCACTCTACCGACTCTCGTTGTATACTTTGGCACGATTCTTTCCATTTAATCCCAACTAACTACTCAGCGTGAACTCGAACGGTACTTGGAGTACTATAATTCGTCTTTCGTCCCTCTTCCTCGCACACGTTTCTGTCAACGGAAATCGACCAAGGGAGAGAAGAAACGAAAGCTGCCCTGTAATTAACGTTCCCGCGAGAGCCTTCGGTGCTCGGACTTTTCTCTCTCTGTTTATGGTCAGCGATTTAAACGCTCTTCCTGGCTCGAGAGTCTCCAGTTACAGGGCCTTTCTTATTCGTTGCTGGCCCAGTACAACGAGATTCGTGCGTTTCTTGCAGTTAACGATCCGTTAGCAGGGGTCCGTTTACCGCTCGCTGAATTTCATTCGTCGTTAATTAGATTCGACGCGATCGAGATGCGATTCCGATTTGCGTTCACGCATCCAACGTGATCGTAATTAATCGCGTTTTGTCTCGTTCGTCGCTTTCGTTTGATTCGACTTTTCCTTACAAAATGTTAAAGTTCGAATCAACATTCGGATATTTGATTTGCGACATTAGGACAGGTACGTAAATCGATCGTTAGATATATCTAATATATTTCGCATACTATATACATTTTGACGATAATTTTCATAGTTATCGGTCATAAATAATCGGTACACGCTATCTTCGCGAATAAGACGTTAATAATTCCTCTTTTCCAATTACGTATCGGGAAGCTTGTTTATACTTGCCAAAGGATAAAGGATAAAGGATAAAGAAGACTTGCATCGTAGCATCGTTTCATATATATCGGTCGTAATAGCATATATCCAATGACGCTTAATGGCCGCATAGACTGGCATTCAATTCTTCCCTCGGTACAACACATCGGCGTATAAAATAAAACACAGCCGATGCGTTTACGATCCGTTAAATCCGCATTTTCGACTTTTATCGCGTGTTCTCGCCAATGACGGTTTTTTAAGCGATCTCCAAGTTAATTTACCGTCTGACGATCGAAGCAACCGCGACGTTAATAATCTTGTATCTCGCGGCTTCGTCGTTCCTCCATTATGTTGATTGCAAAATGCAACCGCCAGATTCTACGCCACGATTGCGCGCGAATTTCGCCGTTTCATCGAGTTGTAAACCTGTGACACGTCGTAATTTCCACCAGGATGTTTCCCGATACGGATAAAAGCTTTGCTCGATCTGTACGCCGAGCAACGTTCAAAGGAAGACAAAAGCAGATATAGAAAAAAGGGATATAGCGTTTGAAGAGCAGCGATTTATCGTTACTCTCTCGAGGATGCGTTCTACACAATACCCACGCGAAAAATGGTAGCTGAGGATGCTAGCAATTTTAAGGAGAACCTATCGTTCTAAAACTTAATTATATGCTGGCTAAATACAGGAAGCGAGGCTGACCATTAGGAGCATAGCAAGGCGGCTTTTCATTTCGTTCGAATTTAATTAAAATCGAAACGGGCGTGTTTGCGACCGACAGCTGTGCCGCTTTTGTGAAAATCGCGTGACACCTTTCGGTGAAAGAAAAAAAGAAAAGAAAAAAAACACTGGTGGTCGTGTCGTTGAAAATCCAGTTGCAAGAGGGAAGGAAACTGGTCCTTCGACCAGTCGTCTACCGAGAAACACGAGTGGAAAAAGACGACGCGCGTGTCGTCGATCGAATGGACGCTTCTTTTGCCAGCGACCTGTGTCTGTGACACAAATTCAATGGTATTCGACAAAGAAATGGCGTACAAAAGGGAGACAATTTCTCGAAGAAGAAACGCGAGAGACGAGCGGTGGGACGTTGCGTTCGATTTAGACGTAAAGTGGAAACAGCGATTAAAAACGAAGATAATCGCAAGAGAAATTAGCGTTACGTAAATTTATATTCGCTAGGTATCGTAACGAGCTTCCTTGCTTTCGTTGTTTTCGATACTTTCGAAAACGTTCGACAAAACATAGACAGCGAAATTGTGAATCTCACGACCGTTGTAAATGCAGCATTCTGTAATTCAAAGTCCGTAAAAGTTTCGTCGGAAAGAGCAAACGAGCGAGCTCGCGTACATCTCGAAAACACATTGTGTCGCGACTCGTACGCGAATAGCTAATTGGCCATTGCCGACAGAATGGGCACCGGTTCTCTCGCGAACCCTTTTCCCTCGCGATAGATGCACGAGAGCTGGGGCTGCAGCTGCACGCGGCACCGTGCAGCGCGAAAACGCATCTTTTGTGCCGCGGCTGGAGCAACGGCGAACGGAGGCGGTGCACAAAGCTGGCCCCGACCAGCCAAAGATCAATTGGAATTGAAACGAAACGAGAGCGAAAGAAACGGCGCGCACCCCACCTTTCGAAATCGTGAGCGTTTCGTTAACGATGGAACCGCGTGACGCGAATCCTTCCATTATTAATGATCCGACACGCGAAACCCTCGCGCGTTCGATCGCCGTCGATCGTGATCGCACTTGCATCGAGCGACGCAGCGGATCGATCGATCGCGTTTCCGTTTAGAAACGCAGGCTATGAAATAATGGGCCGACAAAGGGTGCGATTGTCGGCATTCCGTTCTATCGACGGGGCGGGTTCGGCGCAGGAACAATCGGAGATTTTTGACGAAACCGAAACGGCTGCCGGTCAATTGATATATTTTATTGTTAGTCGTTCAAACGAGTGACCTTCTTCGACCTAGTTGATCATTGTTAAGGGCTGCGCACTGTATCCTATGTATTTGCACGGGGCCGTTTGGAAAGCGATATATTAGCACAACGGGCCAAGTTGACGGAGGATAAGGGTTGGAAACGCTGTTAATGGTTGCGATTGCATCTTCGTTTCTACCAAGATGGAAAATTAAATACGCTGTAGATTACTATCTCTGAAGTTTAAGAAAATATGAAACGCGAAAGAATTGCTTTCGAAAATGGCGTCGTGAAAAAGAAAAAGAATAATTTGTTCTTGAATAAAATTGATCTCGCAACGAACATCTGTATATTCAGCGACGATGAAATATTTCATGAGAATGTCAAGAAGATCTCGAGTTTAAAAGTTGAAAACTACGTTATTTCGTTATTTCAATTGGTAATATTATAGAAGCGGAGTCGCATAGAACGGAGTTGGTTAAGAACTAACAAGGTTGGTTGCGTAAATCCACTTAAATCTTTTGTTACTCACGTCACTGTCTTTCAAACATTCCAATGTTCCTCCAGTCGCAAAACGTGCAACAATTACGAGTATTACGAGCGAGTAAATACACGCGGCAAGCAATTGGAAGTAACACAGTGAAAATTTCTGTCGGGAATCAGTTTAATTTCCAACGGCGATCGTCAACTGCGCTAAGAACTCGAAACCTCGCGATAGAATCGCGGACTATTCAACGGTTCACAATGCACGATTGTGTGGTTCGCAAGGTCGACCTCTTGCATTCCGTCGTATGACGTAATGGCGCGTTAGAGGCTACCGATGCCGATTGGATTTTCGGTTGGAGAGACCCACTCTCGTTAAATCATTCATAAACGATCCGATTCAACGGACCACCCAACGAGACAGAATGCCAGGCATTCAAATTCTACGAGAACGACGTGCCATTAAACCGTTACAGACGTCATGCGTACGACGAATCTACGATTAAGCTTTC